GTGTCTCTCATGAGAGTCCAGGGAGGGCCTGATCTTCTAGGTCATCACAAAAGTCGTGATATATTTTGCACAGGAAAAATACGTCATGACTTTTCTGACACCCATATTTTGAGCGTCCCCTCCACACACACACACGCGTAAGCTAGACCGCAGTAATTCCTAAAGGCGTCTAGCTGTCATTCCTTCCTTACGGCGTCAGCTTGTGGTGGTCCCCCGTCTGCCCCAACGGCCAGACCGATTTCCGTGGGCTAATGCCCGACTCCCTGCTGACTCTGCCTGACTGGCTTTGTGAACGTGGAACTAAGAAACAGATTCAGATTGTACCGTAGACAAGTTAAAATGTCCACAACTGGTTTTAATTTCTTGCAGGTTTGTGTATTAGACCTTCGAAAATAGCGCTACTAGTTGGAAGCCATGGACCGACTATGAATGTGTACATAGCCAAACGACTGCCCCGACCACGCACTGCTGTAGCCCCCGAACCATGGCCAGTCCACTACAGCCAGCTCTGAGAGGTGGATACGTACAGTGTATATAAACAAAGCCGCACCCTGAAGATGACAGAGTTTTGTCACAGCTTGTGAATTCTGTTCACCAAGTGCTGGAATCTAATCTGCTGTGCCCCTAAAATAGCATTTAGAAGTTTTGGATTTGAAAGCAGAAGAGAGAAAGAAGTACATGTTACAAAAGCAGACCATTCATGTACCAGAGTTCGGATACTAAAGACAGCCGTGTCCCTCCCCTCGACCGGCAGACACCATGAATTACGTTCCTTTTCCCTTCGGCAGTGAGCGGCTTGTATGTACCGAGAAAACGGACTCAGCTCGCAGCAGTAGAATGTTCTCGCTTTCACGTTTTGTTTTTGGTTTAGTTTGGATGCATGAAGTCAGGGAGTGAATCAGTTTCTTGTTTATGTTTTTTTCACCTTTTAAACAACAACAAAAATATTCTTAAAATGTTTTAAATGCATTCTTTTGAAGAGATAGGTGTTTGGTACATTTTATGGCTCCCAGAGCATATATTCACCTGGTACATGTTCTGGAAGGGGGAGCTGGAAATTAAATGAAAACATATGGCTTTGGTCATGTCAATCTGTAAGACACATCAATAAAAGGGTATTATGTTCTGGGGAACCAGCAGTTAGCGTA